TATGTATATATATGTATATATGTATTATATATATGTATATGTATGTATATAATATATATATATATATATATATATATATATATATATATATATATATATATATATATATATATATATATATGCTTGTATGTACGTATATAGATAGGTTGATAGATGGGTGGCTACACATTGATTTCCCATGACATTATATCACTTACAGCAATGAATCAGTTGCATCACCTGACGCAATGGAAGCGTAAGCGTAAACCCGTTGGTGCGTGAGCGCAAGCGCTTTTCCCGCAAGAGCTCTTGCATAAAGGCGTCAGCCCGCGGGCGACCCGACGCCCGTGACGCGGCGCCGATTCCGTGACGGCCTACGGCTGCGGAGGCGGGCCGGGATTTCACGTGGGTGCTGATGCGCCGCCATGACGGGTGGGCGTGCAGGGCGGGTCGAGGGAGCGCTGCAACAGAACGCCCGCCGGGCAATGGGGGCGGGAAGGGGGGGGGGGGCGAGGGCGGCGGCGCTGGCTTGAGGTCGCGCGAACAGAAGAAGCTCGCTTGATTTTTCACTTCTGCAACTACTCCCTCTGTCTGTCCTTTCTGTCTGTCTGCCTGTCTGTCCGTCTTTCTCTGTCTGCCTGTCTGTCCGTCTTTCTCTCTGTCTGCCTGTCTGTCCGTCTCTGTCTCTGTCTGTCGTCATCTCTGTTATCTATCTATCTATCTATTTATCTATCTGTCTGTCTTTCTACATATCATTCTTTCTCACTGACAGTAGATATTTTTTAGGAGCATATTATTAGAAGAGCATTTCGTTCATAGATCACTTACGGCTAGTAATGCTGTTTATTTGCTTATAAAAGTATGTCTATTTTTATAACTTTTCGTGTGGATAATGGAGGATTAGAGTGAAAGGGGAAGAGAGGTGGATAGAGAGAAGAGGGGAGAAAAGGAGTGATAAAGGGGAAGATGGGGAGTGGGGGAGGGGTGGAGGGGGAGAGAGAGAGGAGGGGAGGGAGGAGGAACGGAGAAGAGTGCGGAAGATGGAAAGGAAAGGAAGGAGGGAAGGCGCGGGATGGGGGAGGGGGAGGGGGACTCCCAAGAACGTTCCTCTGACCTTTAAAGGGAAAGCGACCTGCAAGAGAGGCTGGGGACACAGCTTGGAATCCAGGAAGAGCTAGAGAAAGTCTACGTTTTTTGTTCTCTCTCTCTCTCTCTCTCTCTTTTCTCTTTTCTACCACTGGGAGCGCCTGATAACAACACTGAAGCGGACGACACAGAATATGATTGGGAAGAAAGTTGCCAGCGCGGACGCGACCGAAGGAGCAACAGCTGAGGCCTGTGGAGCGCAGAGGACGGGGACGCGAGGGTCTCTGTTTCCTGTTTTTATTCTCATTTCCCTTTTCCCTTTTTCTTTTTTGTCTTCCATATCCTCATCTATATCGTTTGCATTATTTTTAGAAGATGTATATATATATATATATATATATATATATATTATATATATATATAGAGAGAGAGAGAGAGAGAGAGAGAGAGAGAGAGAGAGAGAGAGAGAGAGAGAGAAGAGAGAGAAGAGAGAAGAAGAGAAGGAGGAGGGGGAGGTAAGAAGATAGATAGATAGAGAGAGAGAGAGAGAGTGAGAGGAAGGATGGGAATCAGATACCACGGACATCAAAGGTAAAAGAAAAAAAATACTTGCCCCCCCCCCCGCCTTCCAATAGAGAAAGTGGACATCCGGGTTGCAGTGCCGCTATCCCCCCCCCTCCCCGCCCCTCCACATCGTCTTTTCTCTCTCCTGTTTTCTGTCTATCTATTTATCTATCGATATCTACAGCAACCCAAATGGAAAGGGAGCATAGCCGAAGAGAAATGAGAAAAGGAAAGCGAGAAAGGAAAGAAAGAAGAAAGAGAAAAGAGAAGAAAAGAAAAAATGAGAAAATTAAAAAGAAAAAGACGAGAAATAAAGAAAGAAAAGAAGAAAAAAAGAAAAATAAGACAAGAATGGAAAAGAAGAAAAAAGGGAGAAGAGGAAGAAGAAGGAGAAGGAAGAAAAAAGAAAAAGAAAGAAATGAAAAAGAAGAAAAAAGAGAGAAGAAGAAGGAGAACGAGAACGAGAAGAAGAAGAAGAGAGGAAGCCAAAAGCAGCAGCTCCCGACGACCTTGTTCCGCGCGAGGCCGCCCCGAGGGAACAGGAGAGGGAGGAGGAGGACGTGATGAGGAGACGCTCTTACTCTTGCCTTCTGTCTCCGCTTGGCCGTTCCGTCCCCCCCCCCACCCCACCCCTGATTTCCAGGGTTTACTCGTTGGTTCGTATTCTCCTTGCGCTCTCTCTCTCTCTCTCTCTCTCTCTCTCTCTCTCTCTCTCTCTCTCTCTCTCTCTCTCTCTCTCTCTCTCTCTCTCCTCCTCCCTCCCTCCCTCCTCCTCCCTTCATCTCTCTGTCTATCTATTTATCTATCTGTCTGCCTCTCCGTCTCCCTCTCCTCCCTTTGCTCGCGCGCCGGCCTCCTTGCCCGCCATCCGGGTGCGCGGGGAGCGGCCGGTGCCTCGCGGTCGTAATCAGGCTCGGTGAAAAGTGACTATTATCTGAACCGAATCTACGGAGAGAGCCTGGGTGTGTTTGCCGAGGCAGGCAGGTCGCTGGATATGGGAATGTTTGGGCGTTAGTATCAACAGAGTCAAACACACAGAGACGTAATTCAAGGCTGGATCAAGGTCGACATTTGCTGAGACAGGTAGAAGATAGTTGATCATCAGGGTAGGAAAAGAAACGGGAGACAGAAAAAAACGGAAAATGAGAATGCGCATCAAACATCTTAGATTAGCCGCAGCAATTTCCGAAACGGATCACGTGACTGCCATGAGCAGATTCAACCGGAGCGAACCGACGGCAGAAACTGTGTCACCCGCTGAAGCACCCGAGCGGAGGAGCCGAACGCGGGCGGAACTGACAGCGCTGACTTACATTCGAACTCCTGACCTGGAAAGCAAAACAATGCGGTTCTCACACAGACGTCCGCCAGCCCTTCTAGAAAGCACGATGTCTGCTTCCTCAGTTGCTTCTAGTATGCGGTTAGAGACCCTCCCCTCCCCTCCCCTCCCCGCACAAAAGGGATGTCGTCGACGGGAGAAAGTTCGCGGAAGGGATGCCACTTTCTGAGACGCGACCGAGGAAATGCCGTTCGGGATGCTGTTGTCGCTCTTCATTCATGGCAGCTATTTCTTATCATGTCGTTCTCAGTGACGTCGTTGGTCTGGAGATGATGGGTGGCAATGGCGCGGCGGGGGGGCGGAGCGCCACAGCCCGCGCAGCTGAAGGCGCGGCGTCACGGAG